CTATAGTAATTTATATATAGAACCACGTCATGTTTTACTATGATCATTCTTCAGTTGACTGGAGAATCGTCAATTAAAATAATTATCTATTCTTTCAAATTTTATCTGTTTTATATATTTTATCATATTCAGTAATAGTTTCTTTTTATTAATTTAACAAAATTTCTAATATTATATCTATATAATGTAAATTTCTTCATATTAAATATGTTGTATATTCATTCTATTATTTGTTAACATATAAAACTAAAAACAATAATTTATTATTACTACACTGCAAAGCAAGAGATTTTTTAGATCCTAATCTATCATTTTGTGTTTGTAAATGTTGAAATATTTCTATTATAATTTTATTCGAAAGATTTATATCAGACTTTTTTGATAGTTTTCTTTTTACTATTACTATAATATGCTATATAAATGACCTGGGTCTGTTATATTTCACTAATTTTCAAACCTATATTTAGACCCAGGGGTCTTTTGTATAGATGTGGGTATGATAATTGGAGGTTTATTCTATTTCTTTATTTTTTTCTTAGTATTTTTCCTATTTGTATGTCTGAGTCTCTTACATTTTACTAAAATTTTATCCTGTATTATAGGCAGCATGGTGGACAATCATAGTAGTACAAACTTCCAAACTTGAAATTTGTGACTCAGGACCGATCTGTCCAATAAAAGTATGGGGATGATCGATCACATGAAATTAAACAATTGGTCATGTCCGTACACATGATAAATTGGCCAATCAATTTTTTATAAAATTACAATAATGTTCGAAAAATCTTTACTAAATCAAAGATATCTTATGATCCAGCAGTCAGAATTTGATGAATTTTATACTATTCGATTCGTCTCAATGAAACGAATTGAATGGTATAAGTTTTATCAAATCCTATCTACTAGAACATGAGATATTAACAATATTACAATCCCTTATTTGCTTATACATTTCTTAATAAATTTTATTTTCAATATATATAAATTATTTCTACTTAATCTATTCAATAAATATACTTTGTTAAATTGATTCTAAATCGTTCCTATTAGTGTTTTAAATTGTAATATATAGTTAAAATAATTAAAATTTAACTTATAAAATAACAAACTCATTTGTAATACATATAACTTTAGATTTAAAGTATATAAAATAATTAACTTATCTTTTTTTACTCTGCTTTTTATATAAATGCTACTCAAACTTGTTTAAGCTTTTCTAAAAAAGACTAGAACTTAGTTTTGCATTGTTTGTCTTTGGTTTTGACACTAAAATACCTTCGTGTATTCAAATTATAGGTTTAACTATCTTAGATCTCTTATAAACTTCATCTCTAATAAAACTTTTTGGATATTGAGATTATTTGTGATTAATTTTAATAGAAGACTGGGCAGTCAAAGATCTTTCGCTAGCTTTTTTTTTAAAGTGAAATTAATTGGTAAGTTTTGAAAAATCACGAGAATACAAAGTACTTTAAACTGTATAAAAAATCAAAAAAAATTTTTTATTAAAGTGGCTAAGCCACAATGTCGATCATCTAAATTTAGGTTTGTCCACCATGCTATTATAGGCCCAGGTCTAATTCATGAGGGATCTGATATATAGATAGATCTTTTATATGACACATTACAGTAACTACTCTTTATCTTATTGTATTTTCTTAAAATCTGGTAAATTATTTGTAATTAAATTTGAAATTTCTGAATATAACAGTTTTCATATAACTGATATACAATTTTTTACTACACAACCTTCTTTTTTCTTAAATTTTAGCTCATCTATTTCTATTCCTATTTTAAGTTTTATCTTTCCAGCTACAATAAAGCTATCTGTATATATACGTTTTACTTGATCTTCTAGTGGTTTCACAATTTCTAATATTTTTTTTCGTGTTAATACTAATAAGAATGGTTTTATTCATAGATATATACTATAATTTTGTTCATTTCTTTGCTCACATAGAACATCCTATAATGAAACTAATAATGCTTTACTTACTTTTTTAGCTATTCTACCTTCTTTTTTAATGTTGTATAATATATTTTTCCATTTACCAAACATATTACTTTCACTAATACAGATATTTTTTCATATATAAGTGCATTTGGTAATTCATCTAATATACTTTTAAACCATTTCTTTTGGCATACTCTAAATCAAAATGTGTATAAATTCCATATAAATTATATAGTAAATATCTAGTGCATTGTAAGCTTTTCTTCAGAAGATTTTCTTCTATTGTTGCTTTAAAAATTCTATATAGAAATTTATTCCATTTTTCTACTAATAATATATTTATAGTATGAAACTTACCTGTAGCAATTAGCTATGATACTTCTTTCTTTAACATTTCATATATATATTGAATTTACATTATATTGAATAGCTTCTCTTTCATATTTCTCTGCAAATACTAAAGCACTAATTAATGCTAAATTTAACAAAGCATTTTCTTTTTCATCTATTTTTTCACTTCTTTTTGTGCTAAAGTAGTTTTTTTAAAAAGTTTTAAGCTTGTTAATGTATAACTTTCTGATTTTCGCATATCGACTTGTCTATTTGTTTTTTCTGCTATAGCTTCTGATTCTTCATTAATTTTTTTATAGGCTTCTATAGTTGTTTTTTTCAAATCTGTTTTAATAAAATAGTACTTATTAGATAATCTACAAAAATCTTCTTTAACTCCATACCATTTTTTATTTTTATTATAAAATTCAAATTCATTTGCTATATTTTTATAAATCAAGATAGTTTTATTTCAGTAGTTCACACTATTTTGTTTTGAATTAGATCCTATTCCAGGATCAACTGCTGGCTCTCTTGTCTCTATTGGCTGATGCATCAGTGGGTTTTCATCGAATGATATGAGATCACCCTTTGGAACTGGTACTTGACTTTGCTCTGGTATAGTGTTTTCTGTATGAGATGTATTTTATGCTTGTGTTAGTTGTAAGAGAGCTTGATATAGTCTGGATCATATTAAATCCATATGTTTATTCAGATCACAAGTTTTACCTGTTCTTGGAGTGAATTCACAACCTGGATATTTATCTACTATTGTAATATATATTTGTATTTTGTTTTTTATTAATATAATCAGATAGGTTTAGATTATAGATAACTCTTATAACTCTTGAGTTAGCAAGGGCTCTGTCTAAGTTTCTAGTATTAGTATCTTATAGATATAAAATTCAAATGATATAATTTCTTTATTTAATTATTTGTAAAGAAGTTTAATTAGATTTTAATAAAGATAGAGGCATGGCCTCACTTTTGAAGATTAAAAAAAAAAATTTAATATAACCAGATCTTTCGTTTAAATAAAAAATAATTATTTATTTATAAAAATTTATCAAAATATTTATTGATTATATCAAAAGCTAGGTAAATATATCAAAAAGCCAGGTAAATATATCAAAAAGCAGAGTAAATATATATGTGAATATATATATAACTCTGGAGATGTCTGTAGTCTTGGGTGTCAGTATTCTAAAGGATGTTATGAATATTAGAAAGCAAAAAAACATGGTTTATATAATGATTGTGGAAAACCTACAGCTTCTATTTGTTGATGTTACAAAAAATATACTAAAGAGTATTATATTATGTAGTTCTATACTTAAAACTAAACCTGTAATAAAAAAAACACTTTGTGTACTTAAAAAAATTTACTATTTGTGTATTATAAAGCAATAACCCAAAGGGTCTATCTAAAAATTATTGTAAAGCAGTCCTTATAGGAGTGACTTTTGAGTCATAGACTCTTATCTATCTTTTTTATCAATAAAAATCTTATAAAATACTATTATACTTCACATCTGTGTCATATTCACTTAAAAGTTCATACTCTTTAGTATTAGATAGCTATTTATTATTATGAAGCAGGCTCTATAGAAGCAACACTTCAAGTTATAGGCTCTGCCCTTATCAAAAATTTTATCGACATTTGAGTGTGGCCAGAAAAAAAATATACAAAGTGTGTATATATAACATAAACAAAGCTCTATCTAAAAAGTTTAAGTATCTTAATATTATTATATTACTTAAAATAACTAAATAGTAAATAAATAAACTTTCACTAAGTCGCCACACCCTCGCAAATTGGTAATTATACAAAGTATTATAAACAATAATACTTTGTATAACCACCAATTTGCAGATCCTTATGTTCGTGTTTTTAACTCCAAATATCTTGAGATCCACAAGATCAATTTTAATAAACTAACCACTATTAGAACCAGAAAAGTCTCCTCTACAACTTTACTTAGAAGCCCAAGAGAGATTTACTGTTTAAATTTTTTTTTAAATTTTAAAAAATTGATTTTTGTATAAGTAATAGATTTATGGGCTTTTTAGA